AGCCAGCCTTCTCTCCTCCTACAAGCTGGAAACTTTCTAAAACTATTTTGCAATGAATTTATAAGTTAATTAGATGCTGTTTCAGATTGTTGATAACGAAGACAGACTAAAAATCTGCCTGAATGTGGCGAACTACAAGCCAGAAGAGCTCAAAGTTGATCTTGATGGAAGAGTTTTGACTGTGGAAGGGAAACAAGAGGTTAAAGACAAAAATGGCTATTCAATGAGGTAGAGACTAGTTTACTCTAGTAAGTGTTCACTTATTCGTAATTTTTCCTTGTTCAGAAGTTTTTCAAGAATGTGGGAACTACCCAAAAGCGTGAACCTGGATGAACTTAAGTCCAGCATAACCAACGATGGCCGTTTAGCCATCGAAGCTCCTAAAATCACGAAGCCGATAGGGTCATCGAAGAAGATCCCCATTCAGAAGGCCTTCTCCACTTCGGATTGAGAATTCCCTTCCAAGACTATGCCTGGAGCGATTTTATGTGATCTCTAGATTGCGTACTTTCCGTGAATTTATGTAAACCTCTGTATCTATCCATTTACCTTCTTTAATGTTAGTTTATTATCTATTTGATGAACGTTTTCATATATTTCGTGTTTTTCGGAAGGTTAGCGCCAGACAGCAAGGTATCATCCAGCTGGGCAAAGAGCCAGTTCGATTCAACTTTGTTTGCGAAATAGTCAGCTCTGGGAACAGTTGTGGGGGACGCAGAGTAACATGCTAGAATGTTCAATGAATAGGTAATTCTAAGCTAGAATAAGCCTATAATTGTGGCTGCACAAGGTCTCGGGCTATCGATTAAATAAAAAAGGTTACGAAATGGTGTTTGGTCACCGTCGTGAAATTTCAATTTTCATGGTTTTTGACAGAGTTCTTTCGCAGTTTCCTCTAACCACAGCGCAAACTCTCGTTGTTTCAGCATCGCAGTGTACCCCCCTTTGCCTCGTTCTCTAGCAACGACACAAACATCTGCCCTACAGATGTGGAAAACAGCGCCACGAGGCAAAACATGCTGACTCAGTCCTACTTTTTAACACGTGCTTCCAAAGTGACATGCATAGGCAAACCTTAATTTTATTCTACGGCGAAAAAACAAGTTGTACTGACAAAAACAACAGAATAAAAAAATGTAGCAATGCAATGCAACTCAGTAAGGCTCAGTATTGATACAAATAGTCGTTCATGTAAACCTTGCTTAGAAATGTTTGGCACTTCAAATGGCAGTGTGTAGTGAACCTAGTCAAATTGATTTCTTACGCATACAACATATTTGCAAATCAAGTCGAATATTCCAGAAAATATAGAATATATGGTATTTATATGAAAGTATTTCATTTATAGCAGTCAAGTGAAGCCAAACGTTC